CCCTGGGCTATTCCAAGAGGACCCCCACAGCCCCGAAGAGGCCTCTTGGAGAGGAGGAGGAGGACAATGAGGAGGGGCCAGAGGGTCTGGAGGAGGAGGAGGAGGAGGAGGAGGGGGAGGAGGAGGAGGAGAAGAGCCAGTGCATACCCAAGACGCATCAACAATGTTGCAATAAGCTCTCCCGCCAAGTTCCCCCTCCATTGGCTCCCACAAGTTTCCTGGCCGGTGTCGCCGACCCTGAAGGGTGACGACGAAGACGACGTCGGCGGTGACGACGATGCCGCTGATGCTCTGGAGCCTTTTTTTAGGCTCTCTTGGGAGCCTCCTGGGCTCCGTCGAGGGGTCTCCTGGGGGACTTCTTGGGAAGCTTCGTGGTCACCTGGAGCCGCCTCGAAGCGGATCTGAGGCCTCCTGGAGACATGCGGGAGAATGCGCAGCACCCCGCAACAGCAGATGGGAGTGAAGACGGTGCCTCCGGGGGGGGGGGGGGCAGGAGGAGGGCGGGTGGTGGTGGTCCCCTTGTCCACTTGGGGCAGGCGGGGTGAGGGGTCCGGAGTCCCGAGTTCCCCCTGTCCACACGGGGGGGCCACCCCCTGCCTGTCCCCGTTATCCACAGGGGGGGGCCTTCCGCGGGGGAGGTCACGCCCCCCGGGGCCCGGCCTGGGGTCCACCTGGAAGGGGCTTCCCATCGAATCAATTACTACGTTGTTTCATTTCCGCGGGGCTGGATCGCTTGAGGGGCAACGCCGACGGCGACGACGGCGGCTCCAAAACGTCTCGCACATGCTGACATGGTCGGTGGATGTTCATCGCGGGAAGCGCTCCATTGGAAGACAACCGTCTGAGAATCTTCAATCGTACCAGAGTTACTTCGGGCGTGTCGTGTCTCTCTACAGGGGGAATGTTCAAAAATGGTTGGAAAAAATATTGTGGAGACGATTTCCGGACTATTTTTTCCCGATTCGTCTTCTTGTCCTTCCCGACCTTCCCCATGCCCTTGGGCGGCCGCCCGTGCTTGTCCTTGCCCCCCTTGCCAGAGTTGTTCGAAGCGCCGCTTGAGTTCCACTCGTCTCGAAGCCAGTTCCCTTGCCCGGGCCTTTCAGCCTCCGCCGCATCGTGAGCTCCTGGTTGGTCATCTGCTCCTCTTCCACGGTCGTCAGCGTCGTGTCGTCGTTCTCCACCAGCTCCAGGAATTGGGCACGATCCCAATTGCCGTGCCGGCTGGCCATCTCCACCGCCTTCAGCCTCATCGTCAGAACGTTTGCCGCGAATGCGGTCCGGCCCCGCGCGAGGTAGTCGAGGGCGGCGCACAAGGTGGCCATCTCCCGATTGTTGCGCAGCCCGGCCCCCGTCAGCGGCTGCAGGACGCGCAGGTAGTACGACTTGGCGGCTGCTGGGGTGTCCATCTTTTCCCAGGCGTGCGCCTCCCCCTCCCTGCCCACTTTGTCCGCCATCGACTGGAGGGACCTGCAGGACAGGAGACCTGGGTGCTTCCGCGCTCAGGTCACGATCTTGGAGGAGAAGGCGTCGCGAAAAGACGACGATGACGAGGAGCTGGACCTCGAACGCCTCTTCCTGACAGGCGAGTGCGAGCGCCGGCGATCGCGGTGCCGCCGCCGATGCTCCCGACGACCCTGCGCCGCCGCCGTAGCCGCAGCACACGTCTCAAAATGTGCGGGCACGCCGTCGCGCCGCGGAGCCTCACCCGAACGCGGCCGCGCTCGCATCTGGCTTCGCGAGCGGCCAGCCTGACCTCCTCCCGGGCGTCCTAACGGCGGCCCGTGTCGCGATTCCCATCCGAGCGACGGGACTCCCGAGGCCGCGAAGGGCTCCTCGCATGACGGCCGCCCTCCGGAGACTGCACTCGCCCATGGTATTCGCGGTGCGGCGCGCCGGCGCAGTACTAAGGCCCCGCCCCACGCTGGCCTCGAGGCGCCTCAGATCGCCTTCACGCCGGCCTCCCGCGTGCGGTCCCCAGCACCATCAATAAGAACTGGTCGAGCGGCGTCTCCGCGAGCCCGAAGGAGAGCTCCACCATGGTCGGTGCGCCCGCAGCTCCCCCGCCGTCGCGTGGACCGCCCGTCGGACGCCGCACCACGTCCGAGATGTCCTTGCGCCGCTTCTCCGAGAGCCAGTCGACGATTTCGAGGTCCGCCTCCAGCCCGTTGCTGTTCAAAACGCGCCACGTGTACACGGGAGTGACCTCGCGGCCCTTGAAGTTCACCTCGTCGTCGTCGCCTTTGCCCGCTGTCGCCCGGAATAGCCCTGGGTTCTCCGCCTTGTTGCTGTGGAACATCCACCAGTGGTAGTACTGGTCCTCGACGTCGTGAACCTTAGCCTCGAACAGGCGCGTACGAGGCCCATGCCCAATGACCTCGATCACGCCCGTCCCGCAGGACTCCCCGAATTGCTCGTGCCAGAGTTCCACCTCCAGGATGTCCCCCCCACGGCCCAAGCGGCGCGCTCCGCGCAGAGCGCGTCGATGTCTGGCCCAGTCCATGGGCCCACGGCTGCATGCGCCATGTTACGCCCCCGCGCTCGGACTGCGGCCCGCCCGCCGGAAGAGGACCTAGCGCGGGGGAAGGGTAGGCTGATAGTGTAGGAAGCGGGTGGAAAGGATGTCGAAACCAAAGGCTGTGCCTCAAGCTTGACCCACAAACCCTGCACGCAATCACGATCACTACCATGACTCATGTGGCTGTGCCGCCTCCCCGCTGCGGGGAACAAAGCACAACATCCGGATCGAGATCCGTCTTCATGAGTTTTTTTTGGGGGGCTATTTTTTATTGTTCCTCCAAAAATTCGCCTGTGGGAGGACACGCCCGATCTAATGCCAGAGCGCCATTCCTGGGACGTCAGCGCCGCGGATCGAGCTCCACATGGGGGTGGCGCCAACGGGGGCGGCGAAAGTTGAGCACGCCGTTAGGTCTGAGAGAAACTGAGACGAATCGGGAGAAAGGGAGACAATTCGAGACGCATGGAGAGAGAAATTGGGACCACTTGAGTTATAATGCGGGCCCCGAAGCCGGTTTGGAAGTGTTTGAGCCCCGCTTGGCTTGCAAAAGCGGCGGCCGGCCTGTCGCCTTCCCCCATCTCCGCCACCCCCATGTGGAGCTGCAGCTCAGAATCGCGCCCGAACGCTTACCTGGGACTCCCACACCGCGAATCAACGTGGCTGTTGCGTCCTGACAATCCTCAATCTTGCCAGATTTCGGCCATACGAAATCTTGCAACTCTTGCAAACTTGTAAAACGAATGTGCGCGGCACTAAGGCGATTGACGCGTTTCGAACAGGACCCCCCTTCATCCTTGAGACTGTTGCAACCTGTTAAAAGGATGTGCGCGTTTCTGAGGCGAGACTCACATTTTGAAACCCACCCGCCCTTCATCCGTGAAATTGTTGCAAACTTTTAAGACGAATGTGCGCGACCCTAAGGAGAGAGCCACATTTCGAAAACCACCCGCCCTCCATCCGAAAAGCCGTTGCAAGCTTCAATATCCGGAGTTATCAATACCGAGGCAGTCTCGGGCGAAACGCCCGGCCCGCCCTACACTTGCACACGTTTTGGAGTGGTGCGACGGGGTGGCGCTCTTCATACGGGGCGAGAGTCTTTCAGGAAGGCCTCTCGGAAGCCTCGCCGCCTCCCCTTCCTGGCGGCGCCGCCGATACCGGGCGGACCTCCCGCCACCTCAGCGCAGAGCTCGCGGAGTCGGCCCGTGTCGGGGGGCTGGGCGCGTGCGGGCCGGCAGAGCTCCCGGGAGTCGGCCCGCGCCGCCGAGGTTGGGCGCGCGCAGGACCGCGGGGCTCCTCTGCCGAGGACCTCGTCGGACTTGGCCGCCTTGGCCCGCGCGCCGGGGCGCCTGCGGGTCGGGGTGCGCCCGAAGGTGCACGCATCTTCGTCTCGGATCCTGGACGGGCCGGGTTCCTCGAGTCTAGTCAGGAGCAGCGCTGCCGAATCGGATATATTCTAGAGTGGCCCTTCGCTGGATCCCATTGCTGGGGGCCGCAGGAGCTTCTCAAAGACTGACTGGCGCGCTTGGAATTGCCGCCCCCCCCCTCCCCTTCCGCGGCCCCCTGAAGCCGCGCACCAGGGACCATTTTTGCCCAGGTTCACAGCACCACATCATCTTGAACAGCGCGTCTTTCCTGAGCTGGGGCGGAGAGGAGGGGGGAGGCAGGAGGGAGGAGGGAGAGGAGGGAGGAGGGAGGAGGGAGAGGAGGGAGGGGAGGAGGAGGGAGGGAGGGAGGATGGAGGAGGGAGGAGCGAGGTCTTGCCCTAGCTGCGTGTGGCCGGGCCGAGGAGTACCTCCCAGCCCGGGCACCCTGGAGGCCACCGGCCGGGGCGCGGAGAGATGGTCGCGCCCGGCGCGTCGCCGCCTGGGTCGGAGCGGCTGCCCTACAGTCAAAAACCCGAATAAGGACGCGCGACTTTGCTCAGGGTACCCTTGCGTCCTTGCTCTTCCTTGGCAAGTCAGGGTGCCCTTGCGTCCTTGGGGTTTTCGTCGTCCGCCGCCCCAAAAAATCCCAACTTCGGCTTCCAAGGGTCTTGCGTCCTTACCGCGCGTCCTTATCAGGGTTTTTGACTGTAGTCCAGGGGTGGGGCGGGGGGAGGCGGCGCGAGGGCGCGTGGGCGCGAAGGTAAGGGACCTGGAAGTCCGCAGTCTCGCCGTTGCTCAGGCTCTTGAGCGCATGGGCGTCTCGATGTCTAGGCCTCCCAGGTGGGGTCGGAGCAGAGGGGGTCGGAGGATGGTGCCGCATCGCCTCGACGGTGCGGCTCGACGTGGAGCCCGTATTCCCCCACGCCGACGTCGCCGATGCGTTGGCGATGCGGCGCGATCCTTCGACCCCATCTACTCGAACCCCATCCAGGAGACCTCTTTGATGCCCCTCGGGCCTCCAGAATTCGCGATGCCGCCAAGAGGCTGGCACCCGGGCGCCTGCAGGCGGGTGCCTTGCGAGCGCCGTGCCGCGAGAGCGAGGCAAGGGGGGGCGCGCCCGCAGGCAGAATCACTCGCGAGGATGCCGAGGCGATGGAGGCGGCGCCGCCGCGCTCCGCCCCTCCGATCGCTGGCCTCGCGGGCCCCTGCCGGTGTGCAGGGGAGGCAGGGATGCTGGTATGCCGCCGCCCTTCCCTCGCCGCCACGGCCAGACTCGCCCCAGAGTCCTGGTCAGAAGGGCCCCCAGTGGAAAGGCCTGGGGAGTGGCGGCATCGGTAATTATCTTCTTGCCACCCACTGCTTTCCGGCACTTCTCCGGCTTCGTATCTGCTTTTCCCCCCTTAGCTGTTCGGCACTTCTCCTGAGTTCCCTCCCGTTCTGCCTGCTTGGATAACGGTTTGTCGACACGCTTCGCAGCAGTACAGGCAACCCGCGCAGCAAGGATGGGCAACCTTCCCAAGGGTACCCTTGCATCCTGGCCCCTTCTCCCCATCCTTGGCGACTCTCGCTGGCCAACCTCGTTAACATGGGCCTCCACGGCCCTTGCATCTTTACCGCGCATCCTTACAGTTGGGGCCCATGCCAAGAAGCACCCTGCTTGCCTCCAGGGTGCCCTGGGTTTCTTGGGTTTCGATGGTTTTGCGATGGAAGGCATGACGTTCCTACACCAAAATCCAGTGGACGTCCTGGTGTCTCAGGGTTGGGTTTCTTGTAGAGGGTCTCTTCTGGTCGGGCCCCTACTGTACGGGTTGACTGCATATCGGTTCGCGACACGCTTTACAACGGTATTGACTCCCCACTCAGCAGATCACACTACGTTTAAATCGGGCCATAAATCGGGCTTACGGGGGACTATTTTTTGGGAGCATTTTCTGATCATTTGAGGTTATTTTTCCCATATCCTAAGATGGGGTTCTTGTTCTTTCTTGGACGCCGCCGAATTCTCCTCCTCCTTCTCCTCCCCTCTCCTCCTCATACCCAGAGTTACTCATGCACAGACTGACTCACACTCCGACTTACTCATACCCAGACTTACTCACAAACAAAAATTCTCATATTCAGACCTACTCATACTCAGACCTATTCCTACTCAGACTTACTCATGCTGAGACTCACGCACGCCCCGTTCGCGGCCGTTTTGTGGGGATGCCTCAAGCGGTTTGCCTGTTTACTGTCCCAACATCCTTCGCTTTCGGAGCAGATTTGGAGGATGTCTCGAGCGAGGCGCTCATTTTCACGTCCCTAAGGGGAGCCGCCAAGGGGTATGACACGGTCCCGTTCGCGGCCGTTTTGTGGGGATGTCTCAAGCGGTTTGCTTGTTTTCTGTCCCAGCATCCTTCGCTTTCGGAGCAGATTTGGAGGACGTCTCAGGCGGGGCGCTGGTTTCAGCACCCCTAAGGGGAGCCGCCAAGTGGTATGACACGGTCCCGTTCGCGGCCGAATTCTGGGAAGCCCATCGCCGGACGACTGCCTGGAGCCGCGCCCCTGGCCGCCGCGCGCTGGCGCTGCGCTGGCGCTGCGCTGGCGCTGCGCTGGCGCTGCGCTGGCGCTGCGCTGGCGCGGCGCTGGCGCCCGGCCGTGGCCGGCTTTGCGGTCCGCAGGGGGCGCCCGTGCACCACTCAGGAGGGAACAAAAACAAACAGACACACAACTAATCGTCGATTCCCCAGAAAATATGGGAAAATATGGGAAGTGGGAGGGAAGACGAAAACCCTCAAAATATGTAATAATACAAGGAATCCTTTTATGTGTGTGTATTTACTTGTGTGTCCTGGGGCCCCTTCAACCGCCGCCGCGCCCGTCTCCCAGGCCACCCTCCGGAGCAGCGTGAGGGGGCCATTGCCCAGGCCCGTGCCAAGAAGCACCCTGCTCGCCTCCAGGGTGCCCTGGGTGTCGTGGGGGTTTCGATGGTCTTGCCGTGGACAGGGTGATGTCCCCGCGCCAAAGATCAAGGGACGTCCTGGGGTCCCTCGTCGTCCTCGACCTTTTTCGGCCTCCTCGTGCACTTCACGCTCCTCCGTCGTCGTCGTCGGTGTCGACGTCCTCGTCCTCCTCCTTCTCCACCTCTGTCGTCGTCGTCCTCCTCCTCCTGCTCCTCCTCCCCGTCCGTTTCCTCGTCTTCCTCCTGCTCCTCTTCTCCCCTCCCTACCAACTGTCCTCCCTCTCCCCCCTCGTCCTTTTCGTTTTGTTCCTCCTCCTCCGTTGTCAAATTTTAGTCTCCCCCCTTTTCCTCCTCGTTCTCCTTTTTTTCTTTCTCTCCTCCCCGTGAATACACACCACGAGGACTTCCCTTCTCGTCGATGCAAACCATGGGGGTTCATTCCTGAGGCCTGGCAAGCCGAAACGCCCAGGCTGGGCGGCGGCAGTGGCGGCTGTGTGGCCGTTGTTTGGGTGGGCCCGTAGGCCCTGGCCCTGTTGCTCCAGAAAGCCATTGGGAAAATATTCGTCGTCATCATCATCATCATCATCATCATCATCATCATCATCATCATCATCATCATCATCATCATCATCATCATCATCAGCATCAGCATCAGCATCAGCATCAGCATCATCATCATCATCATCATCAGCAGCAGCATCATCATCATCATCATCATCATTCTCGTCATCATCAGCATCATCATCATCAGCATTAGCATCATCATCATCAGCATCATCATCCTCATCATTATCATCATTATCATCAGCATCATCATCATCATCATCATGATCATTATCATTATCATCATCATTCTTATTATCACCACCACCACCACCACCACCATCATCATCATCATCATCATCATCATCATCATCATCATCATCATCATCATCATCATCGTCATCGTCATCGTCATCGTCATCATCATCATCATCATCATCATCATCATCATCATCATCATCATCATCATCTTGATGATCATCATCACCATTATCATCAGCATCATCAGCGGTACCACCATCGTTACTACCGATTTGGCGAATGTCTGCGTCGTCCTCGTCGCACATGTTGTCGCCACAATCCGAATGCTCGATAACAGCGGTTCGGGCCCGAAACGAGGCAGGTCTCAGGCGGGTTGCGCCACGCGCGCAGGCATTTGGTGAGGCCACATCGATATATCGAACGACGACATGATCGTCGTCGTCGTCGTCGTCGTCGTCTGCATTGAGGCCGCGCTGGCCTGGGAGTCAGCCCCTGTGGGCCATCTGATGGACGGTTGGGGGCGCGTCGGGGCTGCTGCAAGGCCGTTTTCAGGGGCGTTGGCGGCGTTTCAGTGCCTCTGGAGGCCACCGGGGGCCCATCTAGGCAATCCTCGAAGGTACATCACGGTGTTTCTGTGAGCCGTCTTGAAATCCAATCGGGCCGTCAGGCAGGGCCGGAGGTGGACAGGCCGAACGCATGCAAGCATTCGTGATTGCTCAGGTTTCGTGTTGTTGGTTCGCAGTGTACCAAAGACCTCACAAGCATCTCGCGGGACCTCTGGGATTAAGTCGGGCATGTTCCTCTACAGGAGGAATCTTCAAAATTAGTCTCAAAATAGTAAGGGGACGATTTTTTGACTCTTTTTGAATATTTTTTGCGTGTTTTTGACTATTTTTTCTTTTTCGTCCAAGTTCCGCCTGTAGGAGGACCTGCCCGACCTACCTCTGCGACAGTCGCAAGGCCGCGAGGCGGCCATGTTGGGCCGTCGCACGTTTCGGGTCAAGTCCGGGCGGTTTGGCGGGCCCCCAGTGCTCTTGATCGGCCTTCTTGGCCGCCCTGCTGCGCCTCGAGGGGACCCACTGCAGCGCGCGGCGGCTGGGGCGCGGAGGCGCTTCGCCCACTCCTGTCTCGGGGGGCGCCGCGGGAATGCTCCGCGGGCACCTGCGAGGGCGCGGGTTTGGGCAGGGCGAGAGGCAGGAAACGGCAGGCGAGACCAAACATAGAGCGCGACAGAAGAGGCCAACGACATCATGACACAACCAATCCGCGCTAGAGTTCCAAAGCACGGCGCGCTCCTGCGGGCGGTGGATGCCCGCGCGTACGGCCGTGCGCATGCGCATGCGGAGCGCGCGCGCGTGCGTGCTGTGCGCCAGCATGAGCACGCGCGCGCGTGCATGCGCGTGGCCGTGGCTCGCCGAATGCCGCTGCAACCTCGTCGCCCGTCGTGCCTGCGGTGCCGCGTCGCTTCCCCGGTGCAGACCTTGCTTGCGCGAGTGGCCGCGCGGCGCCGTCAGCCAGCTGGCTCTTCTCACTCGCGATCGCGCGGCTGCTCGGCGTAGCGTTGTGCCGTGGCCTGCCCTCGCCAGGTTCGGCCCGGCGGGGCGCGGCCCCGCGCCTCCCCGCGCCGCCTTCTTCGCCCCTGGCGTGGCTTGCAGCGCCACGCGGCAAGCTGGGCCCTGCAAGGGCCAGCCGCCGAGGCGAGCGCCCTCTCCTGGGCTGCGCGCCCTCCGCCCTACGTCGACTTCCCGCTCCCTCCCTGCCACCGCGCATTCCTCCTCCTCCTCCTCTCTCCTCCTCCTCCTCCTCCTCCTCTCTCCCTCCTCCTCCTCCTCCTCCTCCTCCTCCTCCCCTCCCTCCACTCCTCCTCCTCCTCCTCCTCCTCCTCCTCCTCCTCCTCCTCCGCGCATTTTCCCTTCCTTCTTGTTCCTAAGTGTGGCGTTGGCTGCCTCCGCTGCGCAGCGGTCGCCTGGCCCTGCTGCCGCTCCAGGCTAGTGGGTCACGAGAACTCCCGCGGCGGGACTTCGGCGGCGTGGTCGCTGTCTTTTCGGCCCGCTCTCTTCAAGGGGGGCCGTCGCCTCGACGGGCTCTCCGTCAGGGCCTCCTCACGTGGTCGCCTCGACGTGTGGGTCGAGTCCACTGTCGGCAGTCCTGCGTGGGAGCTCCTCGCAGCCTCGCCGCGCCGGCGCGCCCGTCCGCCGCGGTGCTGCAAGAGGGGCGGTCCCGGGGTAGGGCACGGGGTGTTCACCGAACGCGCTGCGCGGGAGACAGGTTGTTCAGGAGCGAAAGAAGGACGCACAAGTACTTGAGTTCACGTACATACATTAATCCACGTTGGTTCCGAGAGTACGCACTGTGCGCGAACGTTCGTGCCACGATGCTGGTCTCGCGGACTTGGGGGCCGTGTTCATGTGAACGTGGTTGGGCGCGTACGTCCTCTGTGGGCCCCTTAGTTTGGGGGCGGCCTCGAGCGTAGCGTGAAGGGGGGACTGGACAAAGGTTAAGTCGGGCGTGTCTCTCTTCGAAATAATCGAAACATAGACTGGGGACGATGCCTCGACTATTTTTTGACCAGTTTGGAGCACGTTTTTGTGGTGCGTGATTTTTCGTCCAGAACCCGCCTGTAGGGGGACATGCCCGACCCAAGGGTGCACATTGTTCATGTCTAAGTCTGCGAAATGCATCATTTTTTTTGGGGGGGGGGGGGGGGCGGGCAAGGTCCTTTCATTTCTAATTGTGGCCAGGAGCAATCAGAAACGAGCACAATTAGAAATGAGCACGATTAGAAGTGAGCGACGGGTAGCGTCAAGAGGGGACTGGACACAGGGGGGGATGCCTCGACCCCCAGCCGCTGGGGCCTTTTTGGGGTATTTTTGTGGCTATCTTGGGGCATCTGTTCAAAGTATTTTTTATCTTTCGCCCACCATCCGGCTGCAGGGAGACACGCCCGACCCGAGACACAGGGGGGGAGTTGTCAGGAGGGGAAAAACCACACAGACACAATTCATCGTCAATCCCCCGGAAAACATGGGAAAATATGGGAAACGGGGGGGAAGACAAAAACCCAGAAAAAATTGGAAAATAGGGAGAATCTTATTATCTGTGTGTATTTCTTTGTGTGTCTCAGGGCCCCTTCGATCTGCCGGCCCCGACCCCCCGTCGCCCATCGATCGCCGCTCGGGGGCCCGCCCGCCGAGGCCCCGCCCCGCCCCCGGGGAGCGTGCGCGGCCTCGCTCCCTCCCGGGGGCCCCCACACGGGGTGGCGACCACGCAGTGCGGGGAGTCCGTGGGGCTTCGGGGTCACCGCACGGCTTTGGGACTCGGGTCGTAGGAGGGGGAGGAGGACGAGGAGGAGGAGGAGGAGGAGGAGGAGGAGGAGGAG